CGCAAAGGCAAATCCATTATATAAAATTTTACAACAAGGAATAATCAGAACCCTAAACGGTACCTAGACATTCAGCTATTTCAAGTCTTATTTCTTTGCCTATTTATTTTGCCAAGGAACACTTAATTCATTTTGTACAGAAGATTCCATGGATTGTTCAAAAAGACCTACTGGTCATCTTGGTAAACTGAAATGGAACAGAACAGTTCCCAATGGCTGATTTTATCATCTATAAAAATCATTTATTTTGGTAAATTTGTTCTCCATTTCTTAAGCTTCCAAAGAATTCTTGAGTTTTCAGACCATACCGGAACAAACTGAATTTAGGTTGACTCTTTGATAAAGAGTTGAACAATCTAGATAAAGATTAATTTTAAAACCCACCAAATATTTGGATCAGGACTGAGACTTAGAATACAACAGATTAATTTGTAGGGCTATCATGTATAGTAGATAAAGCGGAGCAGAGATCAAGAACAGATAAAAAAAATCTGGTCGTATTTGCTATATTTGGAAGGATTATTAATGGATTAAGAACATCTTTGGACAGCAATAGGGTAATAAGTAAATAAGCTTTCAGATTTAAAGAAAATCTAATAAAACATGATTTTAAAAGAGTTATAGCAGAAGGGGACACCGACATTTATGTTAATGAGTATTAGTGTAACATATAGAACCACTTCATGTAGACCCAGAAATTTGGTGTAGGGGAGGATATTTGATTTAACAAATATCAAATAACAAATATGAAGTCAGATATGAACAGGTTTGTGTTTGTATTTGTGTGTGTGTGTGTACATTTATGTGTAATCTTTTATCAGCACTGAAGTTGCTTACTATGAAATATCAGATTCTTATAAGTGGAGGAATAGGTTGCAGAAAATGCTACCTAACATTTCCCATCCATCCATCAATTCAGTTTGTGTAGTCAATTCTGAACTAAGGCTTACTAGAAAACTATTGTTGATTCAGAGATCAGGATGATAGAGGTACACGCGCTAACGTTTTGGTGACAATCCCTCTAGCAAATTCAGTAGCAGTTGTAGACTGGTAGGAATTTTTGCCTCTGGGGCTTGAGGAAAGCTTCCTACTGGCTTTTTATTCCTGCTCAAATCAACTGAATGGCAACAGGAGATTGCTACAAAGCAGTATCATTTCATCATGTCCAAAAATGTTGTGGAGTTAGGTTATGATGGTGAAGTAAGATGGGAAGATAAAAAATAATAATTTAAAAAATAGGTGGGTGGGCAGCTGCTATCAACCACACCGCAGGATAGTTTTGATGCTGTCTTTGAATTTCTCCTGCCAGCATGTAGGCTGATATGGGATCAACATATCCTTTCCCATCCTTCAGCTTTCCCCACCCATCTGTCCATCAAATCTATTCTCATCATAGTTTTATCAATAGTAGTATCCATAAAAGACATTAAGTAGAGCTTATCTGAAGAGGAAGGAAAGATGGGCTGTGAGATCTGAACTGGGCTGCCTTCCCAATATTTAGTTCCACGACCCTCACTTACACTGAAATAAATGTTCAGATATTCTCATTAAAAAGAAGTCCATTTCAAAAGAAGGCACACAATAAACCATGGTTCACCTTTCCTATCTCTGATATTAAAAGGACAAAGCTCAGAAATTTGGTGTTACAACACTGAGTAGAGGAACAAAATGTTTAGACCTTTTTTTAAAGCCCATTTATCAACCCTCTTGTTGACTTTTAAAGCTTGCTTGCTACCAAAGTGTCCTTTGGGAATGTGTAAAATATGGGGAAAATTAAAGCATCAGAGATGGAATGGGTTTCATCTATACAACAAAACTAAGCATGAAGAAAGTTCCATCTCTTTCTTACTTAGAATTGAGCAATTGGCTTCTGAGTTTTCATCTTCTCCTTACAGGTCTGAAGAAACAGGCTGCACCTGTGCTGCTCCTGTCTCTTTAAGCCCTCTGCTCAGCCAGGGCGTCAACCTTGATTATAAAAGCTGTGCTGAGAGCCAGCTCAGAGTGGCAGTAGGTGGGGGAGAGGGAACAAGTATCTCTGCCTGTGGAAATAAGTATCTCTGCCTGTGGAATTAAAGCAGCCAGAGAGATGTAATTTTCCTTAGCAGTACTCAGAAGTAGGAGTAGTAGCTTGCAGAAGGAGTAGTAGTTGTAGGAGTAGAAGTGGGAAAGAGTGGAGTAGGGGTGAGTAGTGCACAATAGCCTATGAATGCTTGTGTGTGTTGGAGCTGTGTTGTTGTTGGCTTATTTGGAGCCCACCAAAATGGGTATACTGAAAAGAATCCATGACAAAAGTGGGGAAGCAGGGTGGGATATCTGTAAAAAAAGTGGAAGAGCCAACATAGGCAACCACACAAATGGAGATTGCTTAAACTCAAGAGTTCATTAAACATTCCATAAAAAAAAACAAAACCTAGATACAAAAGGAAAAGAGTTTGACCCTCACAGAAGTCAGACTTTGCAGGGAATGATCAACATCCTGGCTTTAGAAACCAGATTTCTTACCAGAAACTACACCACACAGAGGTAGAAGGGGTGGAGTCTCCCTTAGAAAAGACTACTACCTTGGTTGACTTAAGGTATCCACCCTTTGCCTGTAGTTAAAACAAATATAGACCAGCCAGAAATGAAGCTAGGCTCAAATACTTAAGCCAATATCACTAATATTAAAACAACAGCAAAAGGAAATGCTGCTGCTAATTAAAGAGAA